AAATGCATGGAGGGTGTTATATTCTCACTTTGGGGAGCAGTAAAGCTCCCTTTATTTAAGTAATTTAAATGATAGACTGCAAAAACTTTGCAAGTCAGAAAAATGTTTTATACTTTCTTAGGGAATATTTGTTTTAAGGGACGGAAAATGTTCTACATATCTAAAAGATGTTGAACTCCATGTTATAATTGCCCTGTTCCTTCTGACGCCATGAACTGTTCCTACCTCTGCACCTTCTAACTAAGCCTGGCTACCACTGCATCCTACATTTCCACAGTTCCCCCTCTATCAACAAATGTGTATTCATTAGTTTCCAGATGTTTATTGAATATGTTTTCAATGCATTGGGGTGATTGATTTGCATACACATTTATTGGAAACCTCAGTGGTGTCATCATAACAGCATAACCTGCCCATGTAAGCAATTTCTTATTTAATGAAAAGTAAACAAACGTTGATCTACACACTCAACGGATCTCAGGAGCATTCTGAAATACAAGGTTTAAGGGCAGCCTTACAAGAAACAATGCTTTTTAATTGAAATTGAGCTGTACTTTTGACACTTAAATAATTTGGTCCATGAATTCTTCCATCCGAGGTTTGTTCTGCATAATGAAGTTGGCCCTATAGTGCACACTCATACCCATATCCCTTGCCAACCGTTTATTAGCAGTATATTTAAACTCCATAGACACATCACACACGCAAGCAGACAAAAATCACCTTCATTATTTGTCTGTGTTGGAGCGTTCTAAGTACTAAGGAACAGTTCCTGTAATAGTCACAAAAGAATACTGTCTCACTGATTAGAGGCCAGTTCACAGTTTCCACAATTGTGTAGTCCCCTGAGCTGCAGTCACCTATGATGCTTATATGAACAAACAACTGCAGAAGTGATAGAACAAAGCTCATAGTGTATCACTCTATCTGCACAGTTCATTGGTTCTTGATGCTTGGGGAGAGTATGCATTTCAACATAATGAACCACTGCGGGACATGTATCCCCCAGCCCCTCTGGCCTGCCATTCCTGCCATGAGTCTACGTGCACCCTGTGCTACAGTCACATTTTTCCATTAGCTCATCCAGTCATTTGACACTTGGGCACCTGTTGTCTCCATCATTGTCAAAGTGAAATGACTTATTACTTGTTTTTATTCAATTAAGTCTCAATTTAAAGATTTATTTCTAAATTAAAACAACCCAGTGAAGTGGAAACTTCCTGGAATGTATGAGGGCGACCCTAATGATGACTCCTAATATTGGCGGAAATGGAATCTGAAGTGGCTATTTTCTTTTCTTTCTTTCTTTTTTTTAAAATAGCCATTCAAGTCTTCCAGTGGCGGGACTGTGTTACATTTGATTGAGTTATTGGCAGAGGGAGATCTTTAAGTAACTCTGGCTCATGCTAGGACAGAAGATCACTCTCTAAAAACTGACAGAGGGATCCCACTGCCAAGGAAAATATCCACATAGCTAACTTAGAGAAGTTGAGTTGGTACCTACATAGAGCCTTCCACCACTGTGTCCTAATTCTTTGGTGCAAGTAGGTCTTCTGCAGGCTATGGAAAGAGAAATCTGGACAACAACAAAGCCACAAAAGCTTTAACAAATGCCTGCACGACATTATGGGACAAAGGTGATGCAATACTTGCTGGAGTGGGCAAGCGAAGTTTGGTTTAGTTGAGGTTCACACTAACAGAGAGAGCTCATATTGTACACTGCCTGGATGGCCAGGCACTGGATACTGGATAGCACAGAAATCCAGGGTACATAGAAACAAACAGAACCAGAGGAAAAAAAATAATGAAATGAATCCCAATGATATCCTACTATATTCATAGATCAGTGCTTTGTCTGGTGTTATCAGAGAGGCTTCCTCTAGCAGCTGATCAGAGTAAGTGCAGAGACTCACACACCCAGCCAGACATTATTGGAGTCTAAATTGGAGGTCTCCATTGGGTCCTTCCCTTCAAATATCTGGAACCCAAGGGAAGAGGAGGAGGAAAGATTGTAGGGCATGGTTGACACCAGGAGAACATGGTCTACCAAATTAACTAATCAGGGTTCACATGGGCTCACAGAGACCGAAGCAGTAAGCATGGTGCCTGCACATTGTCTTCTGTATAAATGTAATGGCTCTTAGGTTTTCTTTTGTTGTTGTTTTTGGTTTTGTTTTATTGTATTGTTTTTTTGTGTGTGTGTTTGCTTTTTTGTTTGGGTGTATGGTGTGGGAGTGGGACACTTAACAGTGAGAGTTTTGCCTGCTCTTAGGACTCTTTTCCTCCTATTGGGTTGTCTTGATATCCTCAATAGGAGGGCTATTGCCCTTGTCTTATTGTTCTTGTTTTGTTCTGTTTGGCTGTCAGTCCTTGGATGCCAGCTGCTTTCTGAAGAAGAAACTGAGGAAGTGGATCTGGGGGAGATGGTGGGGAACAGAGAGGAGTAGAGGTGGGGGAAGACTATAGTCAGGATGCATTTTTAGAGAGTAGAATATATTTTTAATAAAAGTCATTCATTCAATCAATCAGTAAAATTATCTTAAAAGAATAAAAGCTCCTTTTCCATGAGATATGGTAAATTTATACTTATCTTTGTATACATTTTGGATTCATTCCTATGATATCAGACCTATCCATCCCAGTCCACACTGGTAACCTCAGAAAAGTGAAACTCTTATTCCATTGTATGCTTATCATTCAGCAGCTTGTCCCAGGTGTGACTGTACAATAAAAGTTCTTTTACTGGGGATGTCATACCCTGTGTGCTCTGGCTCCTTCTGCTCCACCATTTCCTGCTCCCCAGCTTCCCTTTGCATTTCTATAACTCAGACATACAGAAATCATCTTGTTCCCTAGTTATCCTATATTAATTTTCATCTCTTTCCTTAGACAAGATTGTTCTTGCTGCCAGAACCCCTGTGACTTTCTCTAGCATCTCAACCAAATCGATTTAGATCTTACTTTTTCAATAAAAGCTTTTCTAAAATAGACACCCCTACAGACTTCTACATGATCTGTTTCCCATTTGTCACAGCCCAGTTTAAAAAAACAAATCTATGTTGCAGTTCCCTATAGATCTTTCCACTCTCCTCTTATGCTCTAATCATTGGCAAAATCATTGGCAAAGTCTTTACGTGTGGCTGAACAACTCACACATACAGAGGCTATTCTATTGTTTCCTATGACATGATACACTTAATTTATCTTCTACTACAAAAAATCCTGAAAAGTGCAAAAAGGTTTCATAAATTCGTACATTATAGGTAAGATAACTTTGATATCTATTGGTCATACTTTAGTGGAGTAGAATAGGAAACCAGAACATTCTAAGTGGCCATCAGAGGGATGTGTTTTCCCACCAACCAACACATTCTAGTCTTCTGAAAATAGGATTATAAACTTGGAGGAGCCAAGAGCAACAAGAGTTGTTTGAATTTCAGCAATGTTTGCCATTGTACTCCAAAGCCACCCCTTTGGTGGGTATGATTAATCTATGCTGTTTCTTCCAACCATCCTTCTTTGTGTATGGAAAATTCTACCTGTGACTTGCATAAGTTTAAGAAATGGGTAGGATTTCAAGATTTTGGTGTTAATTCAGAAGTTAACAGGTCAGTTCCTCAGAAGACCACAATTATGTAGGATGTTCATTGCTGGTTCTTCAGGTTGCAGCCATTGTTATCATTATTAAACAAGGAAACTCTACTGGGAGATGGTACTATTTGTGCTACTAATGCTTCTATGTAGATACATTAGCTAGTTTTCAAATATGTTGACTTAAGAAAATGCAAGTATTATCACTCATATAGGTCTCTTGCTAGTAAGTGCTGAGGTTGTGCAATAGGAATAAAAGATGCTCCCATATGTAAGTATTTCTGTGCCATTGTAACATACTTGGCATTGATTTTGAGTGTTTATAAAACATTCAAGAGTTGTTCCGTGTCTACTTACATTAATGAGAACACCTGTTAGCTTTAGTGCCATACAGACTTATTTGCATCAGATTCAGGTTTTCTCGTACTGTACATCACTTTTTGAAACAATTAGATGCTTATAGAGAAATACAGCTCAGGGAAAAAACAGCAGCTTGAATGCCTTCCGGCTCGAGACAATTCAACTCCAGGTTTCAGCGAAACCCAAAAATCTGCTGAATTATAATACTGCCACTTAGAAATGAATGTAGGTGTACTTGATATTTCCTATGCTGAGAGAACAGAAGATACATACAAAAATCTGTGCCTTAATCTTCAAGTAAAATCACAGCCAACTACAATAGTTTCAAGACGAAGATGGCAACAAGGAAGAGACTACCAAAAGAAACATTCTTGTGGTCCTAGGGGCCTCCTACAAAAACACTGGTCTCTGCCAGTCTTCCAAAGCACACACAGTGGAAAGCATGTACAGATGCTGGTGCCTCTCATGTCATCGCCAGCCCTTTTCTATAGGGGGTTTCTCTGTGGTGACAGAGCCAAAGGTATAAAGATTCGTAGGCTTCCAGACTCCTGGTCACCATGGCCCAAATGTACCAACAGAGAAAATGTGCACCGTTCTTGACGGATACCAGTGCATTTATCTTATTCATTTCCTAGAGTAGATAATCACAACTTCTGTAGGTCCCCCTCAATGGCACTTCTGTCTATTGCTTCACACGGGATGTTAAAGAGTCTGTGAATTTAAATATTTTCAGTTATTGAAGAGAGCACTCATACAGTTAGTTCATTCGCAGCCTCTATTATCATCATTATATTTGAGAGGTGCAATGTTTACATCAAAATGACTCAGTTGGTGATATATTCTAAAGATAAATGTGTATTTATTATCTACAGAAGTGTGATTCATAACTATTTTGTCAGACACAAACAGACTACCTCGATGCTGTCTAGTAAACAGATTAGCCAAGGTACATGTGAATTCCCCATGACGAATGGCACTTTTTCCTTGGGAATGAGGGAAGGCAGAGCGTGTGTATCACAAGAAATAACAGTCTATTTCCTCCTCTGCAGTCTGGCTGTGTGCTTTGGGCAGATGAAGCAAGATTAAATAAAGAGCTGAGGATCAACTGGTGACATTTCTGTCTGGAATCCCAGCTACATAATTCAAGTAGGCAAGGTAAAACTTCACTTTTTCATTTCTGATCCTTTTGACATTGTACTGAAACAGGAGTAAATGATGTCATTTTTAGACTTCTTTATCAACTAAAACCATCATTCATAATCTAGGCCATAGGTTAACTATTTGTTTAATCAGTATGCTCATGAACAAAAAGGGATTTCTCTTTTTACATTAATCATAAGTTTAAAAATTCAATAAATTTATATTTATACTGAAAATGCACAAATGATATGATTTGACCTATGAGAGAAAAATTGTTTATTTAACATGATTACCATTAAATCAAACGTGAAATCACATATGCTGGCATAACACAATTCTAGCTCTTGGAAGAAAGATTCAAGAAGATTTTTCCAAATTCTAGGCTACCTGGGGACACAGAATGAGGAATTTTCTCAAAACGTACAAACAGATTTCTAAAATTATACTTTGGTTGTATATGACATATATAGTATGTATGTCCAGATACATAATTGATATGGTGCTATATCTCTATCTATCTATCTATCTATCTATCTATCTATCTATCTATCTATCTATCTATCTTATATCCTACTTTATCATATATATATATGTATATATATATACATATATATATATGATGCAGCTTATCTAATAAGATAGGTACAAGTTATCTATTTTCACATGTTTGGACAGATATTTCACTAGTTGTTCTTCATTACACAGGGAGTCACTGATCTCGAGATGTCAACTAGACATCTGCTCTAGGTCTAACTCTAGAAACTGAAGCACACTGTAAAAACTGAGCAGTAGCCTTTGTTCTCAGAAAGCATACCTAGGGAGGCATGGGAAACCACTGACTCGTAGTTAAGATAGAAACCTCAGGATTCTTATGGAAAACATCAGCCTCTCTGTTGGTATACTGGAATGTTCAGAGAAAAAATTCAGAAGAGAATCTTAAAAGTTCAGAGGAGATTAAATAGAAGAAAAATGGGGGGCAGTGTTGACATGTGACAGGAACATTGGATCTGGAGACTGTAAGGGAAGGTACAGCTCCTCAGGACACCAAGAGGCTGCTTTGCAATACCAACATGGCCTTGCTTCCCTTCCAGTAGAATTTACTCTGCATCCCCTTATAAGCCATACTTCTCCATAAGCATCTATTTTTCTCTTTAGAGATTTAGTTTTAATATGTGTACGTGCGTACGTCTGCTATGCACATGTGGGTGCAGTCTTTGCCAAGGACAGATGAAGGTATTGGATCCTAGTGGAGCTGGAGCTGCAGGTGGTGGGGAGTCAGAGTCACAGAATGTGTGTGTGGGAACTTAACTCAGCTCCTTTAGAAAAGCAGCAAGTGCTTTTAACTGCTGATCCATCGCTCTAGCCCCTAAACATGTGTCCTTAAATGATAGTACTAATTAAACTGTATTTTAAACTTGTGTGATGTGTATCTGTGAGGTATGTACATGTATTCTCTCTCCCTCCCTCTCCCCCCCCTCCCTCTCTTTACTTATTGTGGAGCCTTGAAGTTGAGAATAACTTTTCACATTTATTTTGTGAAACAGATCTGTCATTATAACTCAGGCTCATCCATTTGGCTAGGATGGCTGATCTATATGCTTTCGGGCCTTGCCTGTCTCTAAGGCTGGGGCTCCAGGCATGAGCACCCCCATGACTGGCTTCTGACTTGTGTGATGGGATATGAACAATAGACACTACCCAGTATGTATCTCCACAGATTCTCAAACTCTTTCCCACCTAAATTTATTTACCATTAGTTTACAGAAAGAAGAGTTTCCTTTGTCATATACATTTAGTTTTGGTTTATGGCCTTTAACCCCTGCTGCTCCAGATTATCCTACCCTTCATCCCTAGTATACCACCTCTGCCACTTTTATATGATATTTATACCACTGCTTTCCCCACCCTTCTGCCAAAGTCTTTTTCTCTTCCTATCACCGGGTGCTTTTCTAGTTTTCTAATCTATATACACACTGACTCCCACATTGGCATTTCCAAGTTCTAGCCTTTCTCCCGCAAATTTTATAATTCTGTTTTTGTTTATGGACGAATAAGATTCCATTGTGTAAATGTAACATATTTTCACCAACCACTAATCAGTCAATGGACATCTAAGATGATTCCATGTCCTTGTTACTATACAAACAGAAATAAACATGGATATACAAACTTATTAGGAATTAGTTTTGCTAAAAATTAGCATTTTAAACTGACATATATTTCAGTCCTATTAGTTCACTTTTCTCTCAGGTTAGATTTTTCCCCATAACTTCTGGGCTGAGTCCCTTGATGCTGGTTGCAATGTTCTAACTCACTTTTTGTATTCACTCTGCTACAGTCCCAATTACATACTTTATAACTTGTCTGCAACAAGCTATAAACAAATAACTTGATTTTATTCTCCTCGTTAATTATAATCAAGTTATTTTGAATCTGTGCTTTGAATTTGTACCTATAGTTTAAAAAAGTCAATTAATACCAGCCTCACAGAACCATTAAGATGGCTACAGGAAATACAATCTAGGACAAACAATACAATACCATCTGACAAAAAGTAAGGGCAAACAGTATTATTGTTAATATTTTTGCTATAATCACTTGATTAATTGATTCATTAATTGTCACCTTGATTAGGCTAACTTTTCCCCATAATTCTGGCAATTCTTTAGGCATCGCCTATTTGGGAAAGACCGAGAAATCTCTAGGGACTATCTAAAAACTTTCCCCCTGGTCGTCTGTAGTTACTCCAACATCCTGTGACTCCTCACTGTCATTCTTGTTTTGTATCTCACCCAGCACTAAGATGGTTTGAGATCCTGATGATGAGACTGTGTCCTTGTGCTTGGCTGAACACCTGGAATACTACAGGGCTCAGTTAAGGACTGTAGAATAAATGAAAGGTATCTATCCTTAGGTTCATTCGGTAGAATTGTGGTGCCAACTGATAGAAGCTCTTGCAATGTAGGAAGCATTTGACTTGTTAGACCAAAAGAAAATAGTCACTGGCACCTGAGACGACTCAGCAGTAACCAACCTCACAGAGTCAGGGGAAGAGACAGTTTTGCACAGCTACTTCTCTGACTGTCAACCCAACTCTCTGTTTGGGGTATGCCAACCTCTCTCTCTGAAAAGATTATACACCATTTCTCGGATGGACAGTGCTTCTTCCATGATGCTGGAGATTCCCAAAGCTTTATATTGTTGCCTACTACTTTCCTTTTCGCAAAGCTAAGGCACCTTGTTTCTCTGCCTCTGACTTTTTAAATGTTCAACATTTGAATTCAGATTGTTCCCTCATCCCTTACATTAGCTCCAACTGTTTGAGTTGAGCCTTCCTTTGATGAATGGTACTGGGTCCTACTAAACTCAGCTTCTCACAGTATCCTAATCTGGTTTCATGGTTTGTCAGCACTCCTTTGGTGGCTTATCTAACAGACTCAGCTGGTGTAGAAGGTTTTGCTAGCCACACCATTAAAAACTGGGCCCAAGATTCTCCTCTGCCTCCTCAATAATCATTGACCCTTTCCCATATACCAATACTTTGAAACCACCATCCAACTACCTCAAACATCTACATTGTGACACACATGATCAGATAACAATGCATGCATGCACTGGGGATGTAGCTCAGTTGATGTAGCACTTGTCTGACACTCAGGAAGTCTGGATGTGTTGCATATCTATAATCCCATAATACTTTAAGAGCAGGAGTTTTAGAAATTCAAGTTCATATTCAGCTGCAATAGTAAGTCAAGGCAATCCTCAGATGTTTTTTCATAAAGAAAAAAATAGATTAATTAATGCATACCTCTGAGGCAGTGTAGTTATTGGATTACCAGGAAATAGTCATGATAGTATAGTCAATGACTATGCAACTGGATTTGAAGTCCCTGTTGGGTTGGCAAGAGAGCTCAGCAGATAAAGATACTTGCCAAGATTGACATTCTGAGTTTGTTTCCTGGAATCCACATAGTGGAGCAAAAAAAAAAAAAAAAAAAAAAAAGCAATTCCCACAAGTTGTCCTCTGACTTCTATGTGTATGTCCACACAATACACAAATAAATAAATACTTGTAAAAGGAAAAATCTTAGTTATTTATGCTTATTATGAAGTCCTCAAACATCCTATGTCCTCTGGTCTTTAGAGTTCTGTATCCTGTCCAGCAGACATGATACTTTCCAGCAGTACCAGCTCAAACATTCCCAATGTGCCTTTATCAAGCTGTGGTATTTAGCCAGCAAGTTTCATTGTTATTAACTGGATAATTCTCAATGCAAAGCAATGATCTAACTTGATTGAATGATATTTAAAAATATCAATGAGTAACTGTACTCCTAATTTGCGAGCCTCACTTTAAACTAGTGTGACATTTATCATTCTCTAGAGTCCTAGGGATTAAGACTTTAAGCACAGCATTTTTTCTCATGAGAACATTTTTCTATTATGAGAACCAACACCAAGTTTGTAATCTACTACCCTTGATGAATGGCTTATAGCATTGGGTCTAGAGTTTACTGAGTTTCTTCCACAATTTTCTTTAAAAGTTTGAGATTTAATTAGATTAGGTTTATATGCAGCTTGTGAAATTTGCCTAAAAGCAGATGGAGAAGGCTCTAAGAGAAAAATTTATTCCAAAGTTAAAGGAGCCACTGGCCTGGAGGCATAATCTGGCTTTCAGACAGCTTTGGCCATGATCCATGGTAAGAAATATATTTATGTTGCCAACTAGTATCTTTATCCTGATTTCTCTTTGTCTTTCTCACACCCTGTCCTTCTCTCTAATACACACACACACACACACACACACACACACACACACACACAAAAACCTATTCCCCAGATTTTTTTCCATCCATCCACATTTTTAAATAGTATTCAATATTTATACTATGTGTATATTTGTGCATTTATATAACTGTAAAATCTATTAAAATACTATTCTCCTTACCAAAGGAAACATGGTCTGCTATTTTCTATTTTTCTGTGTTCTTTTCTTATTTTATTTCATTAAAACAATGCTGAACTTAGCTTGTCAAACTGATTGCAGGAGCCATTGAACAGTCCTCAATGCAATCTGACGCACACTTTCCATAAATGTGCACACACTTCCTATAGAGGCACAGTATTGAAACCCTGTTCCTTTATAACACCTCTGTCTCTGTCTCTGACTGTATCTCCCACTGGGCTTATAAGGCACTTCCAAAAGTTTCCATGCATGAAACAAAAAAGTTGTATATTTGAACCCACAGAATATCTCCTGTAACCTTTTTGACTATTAGGGACAGGTGATTGATAACCTTGTTAGTAGGGAAGTCTTCATTGATAAGCAATTTCCTGCCACTTGAAAGTATAATTAGGGTGTGCTTCTTCGGAATTTGGCTTACATCCTGGATGTTCTAAATATACTTTAAAGTAAAGTATATATGAAGAAATAAAGACTTGGGAAAAATGTGCTGTTTGGAATATATTTGAGATACTGCTCCATGATAGAAGAGGGGCAAACCAAAGGAGCTAAAAGCCTGGCAAGCTATCAGAGGCAGCGATGGCAACTATTGGTCTTTAAGCCCCTTGAATTGAAACATTGAGTACACCCATATTGCATCCTGTAGCCATTCTATACCAGGTCTGGGAGTAGTTATTAGCATGTGTCTGCATGATGGGAGGGAGAAAGCTAAACATTTTAAATGTTATGGACTCTCCTTCTCAAGTTCCCATTAATGCAAATATAGTACATATGGTTTAAGTCCCAAGGGCCTTGTAGGACAGAAATCACAGATGTGGAGTAAACACTATCCGAAAGCATGATTTCATGGACTTCTTGCCATCAGCAGATGCCCTAATGCTCCATGGTGCCAGGGAGATACCAAGTACCAGGTCCTGACCCCTAAATGGTAATGCTTGAAAGTCTTCTTGGTGAACTTTGGAAGAATTTTCAGCTACCCTCTCTCCCTCCCTCCCACCTTTCCTCCCTCCCTTCCTCTCCCTCTCTCTCCCCCCTCCTCTGTCACCCCCTTTCTCCCTTCCCGTCACTATACCTACCTTCCCCCTTCCCTCTCTTCCTTCTGATATGTGTTATTTCATAGGGAACTGCATGCTTTTGTTTCCCTGGTACTGGAATTAAATATGTGCACCACTCAGCCTTGCCCACATCCAAGTTTTAAAACAACAATTCAACTATGATAACTAAGTATAGCATTTTCTAGCATGGTGTACCAACTTCACCACAGAGCTTTGCCCCAAGTTTCGCAGTCTTATTGTAATAGAATTCAGGTGATAAAATGACAGAATTAAATAAAATAATAAAGGCAGTGTATCACAGCCATATGGAAAAATTTCCCAGCTCAGCTGATTCTTCCCTGTTATTCCCCACAAGACTGTAATTCAGGGGTCATGGTGCTCTGAGTTCATCTTATTTTCCCAACTGTCCATTTTCTTTTATTTATGTATATCACACTTCCATAAAATTCTCTGGTTAAAAAAATAAGTAAACAAATAAGTTAAATGTCTTGTGTACAGACAGTTATTTGCTACATTCCAAACTGTCATTATAGTTGAGAAACTTTGAATACTTTCCTTACATATTGATGAACTACATTTTCCCACATGTCCCATAAGTGAGACTTCAGTATCCATATGCTGACCTGAACTTAAAACTTATATTGGCAGTATTGCCAATTGCTATGTACTGTGATTCTAGTAGTGCTAAGAAGCCTCTTTGGTGACAAACTAATTTTCTAAACCTTCTGTCCAAGGTTTGAAATTTTAGCTATCATGTTATTCTTTTAGATGAAGCCTTTTAAACAGTTCAATGTCTGGACAATAAGTTTTTTGTAATTATTTGTTCAGATATTAGTGTACATTCACTTTACCAAGAAACTACATTAAAAAGAACAATTCCTAATTATATATATACATCAACAATAAAATATATGAAATGTCATAAAATTAGAAATTAATCCCATAGCTAATCAAACTACTCAAATATTATCTTATTTCTAGATGTATTACTGGACATGTTCTTCATCTTTCCATATTATATTCTATATATATTTTCATATATGTATTTGCATAAATTGATGTTTCTTTCATATGTGGCTCAAATTAAAACATGACATTTAAAAAGATTTTTGAACCTCATGTCACGAAGGTTCTTCTGTGGCACAGTCCCAGAGCATCAACTCCATGGCTCTATACCATCCTGAGCATCGAGCATCTGATCCGTGGCTCTGTGCCATCCTTCTACAGGGGCGTACCATGGAGATGTATAAAGAATGAGAGACACTAGCTGGTCCCAGTCTCCCCCCGCTCTGGACACATATACAGCAGATGGCTGCCTGGACTGGCCTCAGTGGAAGAAGACATGCCTAAACCTCAAGAGACTTGAGATTCCAGGGAGTGGGGAAGCCTGCCCTGGGTGTGGGGAGTGGTGACTATCCTCTTGGAGACAGAAGGGTGGAGGGATGAGATGAGGATCTGTGGGAGGGTGGACTGGGAGGGGGTAACCACCGGACTGTATAAAAATAAAAGTGATAATAAAAAACTATGAGGTACACCAAATTAACATATTTTAAAAAGCTTTCTGATTTGTTTATCTTACAAGCAATTCTTACAGAAAGAACTGCTGGGATAAGAGCTAAGATTTGGAAAGTCTAATGAAACCTAACATTAATTACTTTCTATGGAAGTTATCCAAAGTTATCTTAGCTCACCAAAATTGAAAAGTGAGATGTTTTTACTTCACATTTTCCAAGTATAGTAATATTAAATAAGTCATAACCTATAACGAGATAGTTGTGCTAGCTTTGTATTTTTTTTATAATTAGTTAAATGTTTTATAATCACTTAAATGTTTTATCTTCTTAGATGTTGTTACTAGCATTTTTTTTAAATTTAATAACATCGGTGTGGTTAATTTTTATTAGATTGAATATCTTTGAAAACTTACCAAACCTTAAGAAAATTACTATATATGGTATCAAAATTTTTGAAAGCCACTTTTTGGAATTATTTATAAGTTGCCATGTTGTTTTTATTTTATATTATGACAATTTAACTGTTGCCCTTTTCACTATTTTGTCTATGTATATTTTATTTCTTATAAATTTATTTTTTCAATTATTACATTATAATTTATTTTCATTTTACATGATATATGGTGTGTGTGTGTGTGTGTATGTGTGTGTGCAAGAGAGAGAGAGAAGGGGGAGGGGGAGGGAGAGGGAGAGGGAGAGGGGGAGGGGGAGGGAGAGGGGAGGGGGAGGGGGAGGGG